CAGGAAGTAGATTAGTGACTGCCGGGGCCTGGGGGAGGGAGGGATGTGGAGTGACTGCTGATGGGTTTCTTTTGGTATAATGAAAATGCTCTAAAATGAGATATTGGTGAATGGCTGTACAACTCTGCGAATATATAAAAAATGATGAATCATATACTTTCACTAGGTAACTTGTATGTAAATTATATCTCAATAAAGCATTTAAAATATGTAAAAATGGATCATAGACCTAAAGACAATAGTTAAAACTATTATGTCCTTAGAAAACAGGAGAGAGCTGGGGATTTGGCTCAGTGGTTCCACCATCTGCCTTGGAAGTGCAAGGTCCTATTTTGATCCGCAGTACCAAAAAAAAGAAAAAAAAAAAAAGAGAGAAAATATGGATTTGATTTGGATTGTGCCAAAGTTTGTTTGTTTGTTTGTTTGAGGTTAAAAAATCTCATTATATTGCCAGGGCTGATTTTGGACTCTTGGATGAAGCCTCCCTAGTAACTGGGACTACAGGCACGCACCACCATACTTGGCTTCTAAAGAATTCTTAAGATATGACACCAAAAGTACAACGTACACAAAGCAGAAAAAACAAAAAAAAACAAAAAAAACTGATAAGTTGGATTTCTTTAAAGACATTTGCATTTCAAAAGACATTAAGAAGATGAAAAGACAATCCACTTTTTGAAAGAAAATATCTGCAAATCATGTAAATAAAGGTCTTTTATCCAGAATGTAGCAAGAAGTGTTACAATTCAAGAAGACAAACAACCCAATATAAAAATGGATAATAACCAGGTCTGGTGGTGCACACCTGTATCCTAGCACTCTGGGAGTCTGAGGCCTGAGGACTGCAAGCCCAGCCTGGGCAATTTAGCAACTTTCCAAGACCCTGTTTCAAGATTTGGAAAATAAATTAAAAGGGTTGGGGATGTAGCTCAGTGGGAAGGGCCAGGATTCGATCCCTAGTACTGGGGGACAAAAGGGAAGAGGGAGTGGGAGAGGAAGAGGAGAGGGGAATTGAATAGCTGTTTCATTAAAAATACAGGAATGGTTGGGCCGTGGATTTAGCTCAGTGGTTCCACCACCTGTCTTTGCAAGCACAAGGTCCCGAGTTTGATCTCTGGTACAAAACAAACAAACAAATAAAAAAACAGGAATGGCTAAACACATTGAAAGATCTCAGCATGACTAGTTATTAGGAAAGTACAATTAATGGACTATAGAAATGATCCCTCAAAATGTAGTCGTGGGAATACTTCAGTGAGAACTATTTCACACCCACTAGGATACCTAAGATGAAAAAGACAAGTGACATCAAGTGTTGAGGAGAATGCAAAGAAATTGGAATCCTTATGAACGGCTGAGGAAAAATGCAAAATGATAAGCCATTTTGGTTTTTGTTTGTTTGCTTATTTTAATTTTTGGTTTTTTGAGACAGGTTTTTGCTATGTGGTCCAGACTGGCTTGAACTTGCCGTAAGTAAGTCTTACCTCAGCCTCCTGAGTACTGAGATTACAGGCAGGCGTACTTTACCACACCTGGCTAGCCACTTTGGAAAGAGTTTGCCAGTGTCATAAAAGTCAGACATAAATTGCCTAGCAAGTGCAAGGTCCTGAGTTCAATTCCCAGTACAAAAAAAGAAAAAGGAAAGAAAGAAAAAAAAAATTAAACATAAAATTGCTGTATCCTCCAGAGTTTCTACTCCTACAAATCAGGCCAAAAGAAATGATGCAGATGTTTATAGCAACATTGCTCATAAAAGCCAAAAAACTGGAAAGAACCCAAATGTCCATGAGACAGTGAATAAACAAAACGTGGTATACTCATACAGTGAGACACTATTCAGCAAGCTGAAGGAGTGAATCGTGCCAACTTCACAAACATCCTCAGTGAAAGAAGCCAGATGCAAGGCCACAGACGCTATGAGCCTGCTTATCTGAAATAGCTGGAAGAAGCAAATTTAGAGAGCCGGAGGGCAGAACAGTGCCTGGGGGGTGGCGTTGGGGATGAGTTGTATCAGGCTTGGTGGAACATTTTGGACATGGAAATGTTTTCAAACTGGGTTGTGGTGGTGGTGGTTCCCCAAATCATGGAACTGTGCAATTGACTTTTATACTCTGCCTGCTATGCCGCAGTAAAGCTGTTAGAAAGTCACAATTCAGGGTGACTTTTGTATTTTGACCACTAAATTGGCAGATCTGTCAGAAGCACATGGCCTGGAGGGTACACTGGAGATGGAGCTCTCCGGCGGTCCCTGGGGAGAGCAGCAGCAGTGGTGGACGGAGCGGGGACAGGCCCTTGATGGAGTTAGAGAATAATGAATAGATGAGTTGCTTGGCAAAAAGCTGTCCTACAAAGGCAGTGAGGAAAAAAATTAGGAGGTGAGAAGGAGCATATAT